GGGACTTGCCATAGGCCAAAGCAGCTTGTTTATTAACCAATGGGAACAACATATATTCACAGCGTACAGAAAGACATCCCCCAGGACCCTCTCTCCAGTTCACATTAGTCTCTAACCAGAATGCCCTTCACTCAGCAGCGGGCATATTCTGCTGTGAGCCGAGATGCCTTGCTTCATGGGAAAACCTTGTTCATCATTCCCACCACTGACCGGACCGTGCGACCGTACACGGAGGCTTTTCTCTGTCCCGTCCTGTTCTGCAGCTATTTCCAAATAGTCACTCAGAGGCTTGTATTGATTATAAATGCTTGGCCGATGGCCCAGGCTTATTACTAACCAGCCCTTACATTTAAATTAATCCACTTCTATTCATCTATGCATCGCCCTGTGGCCCGTGGCTTACTGGTCCTTTGGCACCTTGCTCCTTGGGCAGCTGGCTTGCGTCTACCCTGACTCTGCCCTTCTTCCTCTCAGTTCTCAATTTGATTGATTGTCCTGCCTAACCTTATCCTGCCTCACCATTGGCCAAACAGCTTTATTTATCAACCAATGAGAGCAATGCATGTTCACAGCATACAGAAGGACTATCCCACAGCACACAACCCTTGGACTCTTTACTTCTAGCATCTGTAACTATGCCTACGGCCATACATTTCTCATAAAAAGTACAAAGTTTGTGTTCATCCCAATTCAGTAGGTTTCTGACAGATGGTGGCTGGAAAGGAAGCAGTCTTGACACAGCCCACCACCTAGCAGGTGCCACAAAAAGCTATTTTTAAAAAATCTTATTTAATTTTATTTATCATGCATTGGTGTTTTGACTGTATGTGTGTCCGGAAGAGCATCCAGTGCTTTTAACTGCTGAGCCATCTCTCCAGCTCCACCCCAACCCAGGGTATTTTTTTTTTTTAGGTATATGTGAGTGCCATAATGTATGTATGTGCACCATGTGTGTGCAGTGCCCTTGGGGGACAGAAGAGGGCACCTGATCCCCTGGAACTGGAGTTACGGAGAGTTGTGGGCTGCCATGTGGGTGCTAGGAGCTGACTTGGGTCTTTTGCATAAGCCGCAAGTACTTTTAAGAGCTGAGCCATCTTTCTAGTCCATCTGCTCTTTTTCATGTTTTTTTTTTTTTAACATAATTCTCTATTTGCCCTTAAGTTGTATTTGAATTCCTATTGGATGACAAATATTTTAAAATTAAATGTAGGTGTGAGGAGTCAGCAAAGCTAATTATGGAGTACGTTGCTGGCACAGCTGTGCAGAATTAAAAGGTGAAGTTCTTTGATTCTCTGGCTCTTGCACACTCCCTTGTGGTCCTGTGGGAGAGGGATGAGTGGAGGCCATTGGTGTGGCGATATTTTGTGTATGCTCTAACAGATGAAGCTTGTCTGGAGATCAGAGGGTGAAGCCACTAACTAGCCATAGAGGCAGGCGGTGGTGGCAAACACCTTTGATCCCAGCCCTTGGGATCTCACACCTTTAATCCCAGCACTAGGGAGGGTGAGACAGGAAGTGATAGGGCAGGGCGGAAAGAAGAATTTAAGGTGGGAGGAGACAGGCGCTCAGTCTCTCGAGATTTCGTAGAGGTAAGAACTGGTGGCAGGCTGCTCTGCTTCTCTGATCTTTCAGCTCTCACCCTGATATCTGACTCCAGGTTTTTATTATTTTAGGATTTGTGCTACACCTTGGTCTGGAGCCTCAGTGATTTTGGGGTTTTGGCATTTGGGGGAGGGAGGTTGTCGGTCTTGGTAGTTCTCGGCAACCCCTTCAGCTCACCATCGCCTCTTCTGGTCAGGTCGTAGGTCGGGTGGAGTGAGGAGCAGTACTTCTCTTTTAGCTTCTGCGGGCCAGCTCTGGGTTTGGCTGACTGGAGTACAATGGTCTGTCCTCAAGTACTGTCATTTCTTTAGCTGCCTGAAGCCTTCCTGGTGACCAGGCACATAGTGATTCATCGGCCTCTGCTTGGAGCCACCTCTTTACATTTTCTTTTCCACTGTATTAGGCTTATAGAAGCTAATTAAAATGTGCTGAGGACCAGGCATGGTGGCGCATGCCTTCAACCAGTCCCAGTACTTGGGAAGCAGAGGCAGGCATATCTCTGTGAGTTTGAGGCCAGCCAGGACTGTAGAGTAAGACCCTGAAAAAAAAAAGTGCTCTGGTCTATAGCTTATGTGACCGTTTACATTGTTATATTTATCCTGTGACCCAATCGGTCTTCTAAAACTTTATCCTAAAGTAAAAAGACACAGATCCAGGGGGAAGATCATACAAGTCTCAGAAAACCTTTTAAAAAAGATTTATTTTTATTTATGCATATGAGTGTTTTGCCTGCATGTATATAAGTGTACTGTCCACATTCAGTGCCCAAAAGAAGTCACTGGAGCTCCTGGAACTGGAGTCACAGATGGTTGTGAGCCCCCACGTGGTTGCTGGGAATTGAACTCAGGACCTCTGGAAGAGCAGCCAGTGCTCCTAACCACTGGGCCACTTCTCCAGCCCCTCACTGGGTTTTCAATGGAAAGAGCCATTAGTGGAACTTCTGGGCTCCAATTGTGTCCTGATTTATTGCTAAAAAGTATTTCTTTTTTTTTTTTTTTTTTTTTTTTTTTTTTTTTTGGTTTTTCGAGACAGGGTTTCTCTGTGTAGCTTTGCGCCTTTCCTGGAACTCGCTTTGGAGACCAGGCTGGCCTCGAACTCACAGAGATCCGCCTGGCTCTGCCTCCCGAGTGCTGGGATTAAAGGCGTGCGCCACCACTGCCCGGCCTTAAAAAGTATTTCTTAAGCAAAGAAATGAATATGAATGTAAATGAATATGGAATATTTTTCACAGCCTGGTGTGACAACACACTTTTCTCTGAAGTTTTGATAAAATACTTCTTCAGCACATTCCTGGTGAACGCCTACTGTGCAGGCAGTTGGTTACAGATCTAGGAATTAATCTGACTTGGAATTTTACAGGATTTATTTTATTTTACTCTATTTTTTGGAAACGGAGTTTCCTTATGTAGCCCTGGCTGTCCTGGATCTCACTATGTAGAAAAGACTGGCCTCGAACAGGGATCTGCCTGCCTTGGATTAAAGGCATGCACACTATACCTAGTGGTTTTTTTTTTGGTTTTTTTTTTTTTTTTTGGTCTAAATGTATTACTTAAATTATCTGACACTACTGATATTGGGGTTCAGAGGACATCCTGAGGGGTTCCACATTCTTCTATTCACAAACAAGGAACTGGATAGTGAGTGATACAGTGGCAGAAGAAGCAAGGACAGTGTATTAAGAAAAAAAATATAGCCAGGTGGCGGCGGCGCACGCCTTTTGTCCCAGCACTCGGGAGGCAGAGGCAGGAGGATCTCTGTGAGTTTGAGGCCAGCCTGGTCTACAGAGTGAGTTCCAGGAAAGGTGCAAAGCTACACAGGGAAACCCTGTCTCGAAAAAAAAAAAAAAAAAAAAAAAAGAAAAGAAAAGAAAAAAATATATTTTATATACTATATATACTAGCTGGGCACTGATGACACACGCCTTTGATCCCAACACTCAGGAGGCAGAAGTAGGAGGATCTCAGTGAGTTTTAGGCTAGCCTGGTCTATAAAGCGAGTTCCAGGACAGTCAGGACTGTTACATAGAGAAACCCTGTCTTGAAAACAAAACAAAAAACAAATAAACAAACAAAAACCAAAACAACAAAAAAGAACAACAAAAAGAAAATATACACTACTGAAGAAGGGAGAGGGCCGGAAGAAGAGATAAAGGTTGATAGATCAAATGGCTACCCTGCTCAAAAGGACCAGGGCTTGGCTAGCTCATTTCTAGAGCGAGCTTTCTTCTATTTCAGTTGGGGTGTGTGTGTGTGTGTGTGTGTGTGTGTGTGTGTGTGTGTGTGTGTGTGTACAGTATGCATGCCTATGCATATGAAGTCCAGAGACCGACCTCAAGTGTGGTTCCTCAGCTATTTGTTTTTCAGAAAGGGTCTTTCACTGGCCCAGCACTTGAGAATTAGGTTGAGGAGACACAGGGAGCTGCCTTTCCCACCTCTCCAGTCTTGGGATTTTCCGATACCATCTTCTTACTGAACAGAGGCATGTGCTGCTGAGAGAAGGTGAGGGATTGGCCTCTGGAAATATAATCTGCGGATTCACAGCTAAACATTCCACAATCGCTCCCATTCCGCTGCTGAGGAATCTCCTCCGCTGGCATGCTGTATTGCCTCCACTCCAAAGGGTGCAGATCAATATTCCTTCGGGCTTTGCTCTCGTCCTGCAAGTACTGGGAAATCATCTCGAGGACATCTGGTCTTTTCTGTCCCATCGAATCCAGGTAGACAATATGCTTTATTCTTAGGTCTACTACCACCAGGCTCCAGTGCACATCCAGGTGAATCGGCACCAGAATAGGTTCCTTGGTGAAGAGGTTTACTGCCTGGGTCCATCTTTTGACTGACCTGTAGCCCCCACACTTGAATTTGGTGTATTAGAAGGTACTGAATGTGGTGGTATTGTGTTCCCTAAAATATTGTGTACTCTAATAAATTTATCTGGGGTCAGAGAACAGACAGCCACTAGATACAAAGGCTAGAAAATGGTGGCACTCACACCTTTAATCCTAGCATTCCAGAGATAGAAATCCCTCTGGATC